GAAGATGACATCTATGAGATCAGAGTAACAACTGGTAACTATGAAATATAAGTACTGGCTATTACAAATCAATTGCACCTATTTATGTATAAATTATAGCCGTATAAATTATAGTCTTCGGGTCATCAAACAATATCCTGCTGATGTAAGGGGTTATCGAACTGTAACTGGCGACACACACTGTCTTCCGATAGTCCGGGTCTCTGCATATGATGCTTCCAATGACAATGACCTGTAAGAAGGCCTGTTAGACATCGTAGTTCATCCCTACTGTAATGCAACAACTGTTTGGTATCAAGCTTCGAAGGGTGAATAAACGCCTTGGAGTGAGCCAATCCTGGAAGATTCTGCCAGAAGTCCATAAATCTTCTTGCCATCCAGGTGTTCAATCTTTGTTTGGCAAAGCCCAATGCGATGCCAGTGACAGGTTTTGGTCCAATTAAGCTGCTTGCAGCACCCTCCTTTGCAAGGGAATCAGCAGCCCCATTGCCTTTCTGGCCAGTATGGCCAGGAATCCAGACCAGAGACAATTTGTTAAGTTTTTCTATCGAGTAGAGTCGTTTTTGGTAATTTGCTACCAATTTAGACGTTGCTCGGTAAGAGCCAAGAGCTTCCAACGCCGCTTGAATGTCCGAGAATATTTTTATTGACTTGTGTATGGGGTTGGATTCTTCTAGTCTCTCCGCATACACTTTCCGCTTTAAATACAGTCACATAGGTTCCTAGGCAGGTTAATTTCTCTGTCCTGAGTCTGCGACTGAAAACACCTGCACCAGAACCGGAAGGTGTTTTTGATCCATCTGCTCTTAAATATTAAGAGCCGGAGAATCCATCATGGAGACAGATAATACTGTGGAAACAAAATAAATCAGTAGCGGTGTACCTCAAGAATCCGTTCTAGGACCAATGCTCTGGAACATTTTATATTATGGTCTTCTGAGACTGAAACAACAAAATGGTGTCACACTGATTGGATTCGCTGACGACATTGCTATGGTCGTGATAGCCAAAGGCGAAGAGAGTCTAATGACCACTACAAATACTGCACTTCAGAGGGTATTGAACTGGTTAGAAACAAAGGACTTGAACTGGACCCAGAGAAAACAGACACGGCCTTCCTAACAACGGCAAGAAAGAAATTTGATGTACAAGGAGTTGCGGTGCTTCCAAAAAAGCAGTAAAATACCTAGGAATCTGGTTAGATACTGATCTTTGCTGAACATTTCGGAAAAAGTGGACTAAACAGTGACGGCATTGTCCTCCCTCATGCCAAATATAGAAGGAGATAGAATAGTTCAATTATCCAAAAGAAGAGCATCATTATTGAGTGTAGCCCAGTTTCAAATATTGTATGCCGCACCAGCCTGGCACATGGTGACTGGTAAAGAAAGAGTTGTGTTGGAGCTTGCCAACACTCAGCGCAATCTCTGTATTGGGGTGTGTATGGGATATAGCTGGACTACCTCATATAGAACTTCTCATTGAAAAAAGGTGGGACAAATATACAAGTAGTGAAAGAATAACCGCAAGAAACAACCTCATGTTATGTTGACACCAAACATAAATAAGTGGGCATGTAGACCATATGGTGAAGTGGACAGTTTCGTAACACAAGCAAATTCTGCTGCTTCAGAAATCAATTGGCTGAGGTTGGAAAGTGAGTAATGTCCATATTATGAAGAAATAAATGACGCAGAGCACACACTTTTCATATGCATGAAATTGTATAGTGTTCGGTGTGATGATTCTGCAACCGTGTTAGGAATCACACGTTAAAAGGTAAGACCTCGTTAGTCCTTAGCTCGCACAAGTTCCTCAACTTCTGAGAGTTGTCGTTCGTATGGGGGCGACAGCTGATTAACGGAGAAACAGATTTTAAACAGATTTTTTTCAAACAGAATACCAATTAGAAACGGGTTCACTATTCGAAAAAAACTATGGTAGGATTCATGGTATCGTGTGAAAATGAATGGAGAAAAGTATATGGAGTGATGAGATTCATCACTGAAACGAAAGAAAGAGAAGACAGAATTACCTGAAGAACCCCCTTCATTGGATAGACAGCTCTCTCATTAAAGTAATGTGCAAGCGGTTCCAGTGTAGGGGAATGTCTAAGAAGATTTTTCTCTTCTGCAAAAAAAGATGAACCAGATGAACCAGAAAGAACAACAACACTCAACTGTTCCAAAAAAGACAAGCCCGAAAGTAAAAGTGATGGTATCTCCATCTACGAAAACGCCATCTATTGAATCGACAGAATACTCAATCCTGGAATATCAAAAATAAACGAGGCTCCCCAAAGCAGTCAGTGGCAAAAAACGAAGCTTCGACATCGAGATTTCCTCTGCAGCTTCTGCTGCAAGACCACTGTGTGAAAACGAGAGCCCAAACACGACGCATTCATGATTCAACCCCCCACAGAGCTGTTTCGACCCGCCAAAGTCTCATCAGTGGTGTTAGGGTGAACCACCCAACTGTCCCAATAAGGACAAGCCTAAAAGTAAAAGTGATGACATTTTTCCCTTCGAAGATATACCATCTATGAGATTAAACGGAGACTCAATCCTTGAATATCAAAGATAAACGAAGCTCCCCAAGGCAGTCTGTTGCAAAGCCAAGCTTCGTCATCGACCGCCGAAGGAAGACCGTCTTTTGTCTTTCACTGCACTCGAAATGAAGATGACATCTATGAGATCGACAGGAGACTCGATCCTCGAGGCTCCCGACGGTGGTCAGTTGCGAAAGTTAACCTCGACATCGACGAGATTTGTCCCATGTCGTTCAGTGCAGCTTTTACTGCAAGGCAACTAGATGAACTTGTGCTCCAACTCCAGACAACACCAAATGCTCATTTATGGTTCAATCTCCACCACTAATGAGATCTATGGCGGGTCGAAACAGTGCTGGTTGGTGTTGAATCATAAATGCATTGTGTTTGGGCTCTGGTTTTCAACTAGTGTTCTTGCAGAGCAGACTTACTCCGAGTATAATTCAGTTCAGCTTTTATATTGATTGGGCTGAGGCCTTTCAAATGAAAGTATTGTACCACATAACGATGACCAATTTTCTCCATTTTCACAAATTCACCGAAAACGTTCGCTATTGATGACTGCCAAACAAATACTAAACAACTCAGCGTCTTCAAACTTGAAACATGTGCTTTATAGATTGTGTACTTAATCCGTGATATTTTTTAAACAACTACCGCCATCTCTAGGTCAGGCTGGTTACTTTTAGGACCACTCAGGCATTGCATAAATTATTGAGTATAAGCAGTCAGTTTGAAATAGTTTATGGGAGTTATGTAAACCAGTGAAGTTGTATTTTCAAGTCATTGAATAAAATGAGGTATCAAGTATGCCACTTGTAAAACAATTATAGAGACCCTTCATACTTATGCCAACATGCAAGAACACTACAGTTGATCAACAATTGCATAAGACTCATTAGAGCATATATATAACCTCTCACAATTTTTATTCGTTTTTCAGATGTTCGAGCGTTTGAGAAAATCTCAACCAGATGCCTTCGCAAAGATCGTACTTGTAAATGGAGATGTTAACACGGAAGGTTTGGGTCTCAAAACTGAAGACTTCGATCTACTTATA